TCCACATGCTGACCTTGCCTGTAGACACTGCTCCTGCAGCTCCCATTGATCAGTAACAGGGAACCATGGGCAGTAGAAGCTGTGGGCTCAGTGCCTGTGGATGAGGGGTAGCACAGGGCACCAAGGAGCTATTGCTGTATGTGCCAGCTGCTTTCAGGAATGGTGCAGAGCCAGGGCAGGAGTAATCCTGCCTTAATGCCACTGCTCCACCACCCGGAAGCCGTCTCAGTTAAACGGTGCCCAGACAGAGCTTGAATCCCTGTCCCAGCCCTGAACCACCTCCTGCACCCAACCTCCTGCCCCAGACATGAGTCCCCCTGTGCCCCAACTCCTTCCCAGAGACCTGAAACCCCTCCTGGACCCCAATCCTCCACCCTGAGCTAAGCCCAGAGCCCCTCCCACACTCCAAACCCCTTGGCCCAAGACCAGAGCCTGCACCCAACCCCCTCTCCCAGCCTGGTGTGAGTGAGTGAGGATGGGAGAGGAAGGGGGATGCAGTGAGCAGGGGGAGTCCTCAGAGAAGGGGTGGAGCAGCATCAGGGCCTCAAAGAAGGGGCGGGAAGGAAGTGGGGCCGGGAAATTTGGGTTTCAGGTAGATCTTACATTGCCCCTAAAATTGAAAAAGTATCTTGTGGTTAAAAAGGTTGGAGCCCACTGACTTAGCATATAGATTAGTGAACTGTCTTGAGGCTGTGTTCTCTTTCCTCAGCGATGTGAATGAAACCAGAGAGACGGGTTCAGTGCTTCTGAGATAGGCGCTATCTCCTGTTAAAAGGTTCCCTGGCAGTGTTCCCTGTAGCCACTTGGGAACCTCAGACCCAGGAGCGGGATGAGGCCCCTAGCTTGCCTGGATCCAGCCCCCAAGGCTCAGGGCTCCCTTCTCAGCATTGGGGAGACCATGGTGGCACTCCAGCTCCTGCTGTCCCCTTGGGGGGCTGGAGCATGCAACATCTACTAGCCTGGGCCCCCTTAGGCTCTGGTGTGTGACAGGAGCATGAGGAGGGTCTTTCTGTTTCTCAGGAAGGGGCCACATCTGGGGTGGGAGGGTTGTTTCGTGTTTTTTGTTTTGTTTTATTTACTTCTCACTTGTGTGTGGCCCCCAACTGTGTTTTTTCTTTGGGTCAGCTCAGCAGCCCCTTCCCCAAAAAACTTTCCCTGCCCTTTGTTAGAAGATGGTCCATAGCCAGCTGCATGTTTCTATTGGTGGAGCACCTCTGTACCTGCCTTGGTGCACATCACAAAATGTATTCTGCACATGGATGGGGAAAAAAAATAGGGAGACCGTTGCTCCCAGGAAAGTTCTGTAGTGACTTCAGCACTTTGGAGCGTAGGTTTGATAGGGTAGTGGTTGGTAGTTTGAGGAGGGGCCTTGTATTCATTGAGCCAGAAGTATTGCTAGAACTCATTGAACAGTTTCAAGTAACATTTGAGATCTGGTGCGCTGCTCTCAGCCCGCTTAGGATCATGGCAAACACACCATTGCAAATCCTGTTACGCTTTTATTAAAGAGACACAAAAGCTCAAGCCACGACTCTAACGTTCTGTCTCAACACAGCGGTTTCTAGAATGAGACTCGCTCCTTTGCGTCTGTCCCATAGGGCTGAGAGGCTGGATTGACTGGACAGGGGGCCAGGACATGCTTTTCCCCAGGTAATGTTCTGCAGTAAGGCCCTGATTGAGCACAGCCATTAAGCAGACCCTTAACTTTAAGAAGGTGCTTGATTCCTAATAGCAAATCCCTTAAGCGCATGCTTAACTTCAGCAGATAAACATGCGCTTAAGTGCTTTGGTGAAGGGAGTGCTGGAGTTCAATGCTCGGCTGTGTAAAGGACGAAATAATACCACACATATAGTAAGCTAGCTAGGTGTTGTCTGCCATTAATACAGTAGCCTGGAGTAAGGAATAAAGACCAAATTCTCATCGAAAACCTA